CATAGGATAGGGTTAAATGTGTAGACTTAGAGTTTCACAGTAAGGGATCAAATCCTATTTCTACTACTCATTAGCTAGATGACTTGAAGTAAATAACTTGACTATTCTTAGTCTTGGTTTCTCATATTTAAAACAAAATAAACAGTATGCATCCCATATGATTGTTAAACTAATGTTGAAGCTTTATTTTAATACCTTCTGGATTCTCAGGACCAGATTAACATTAGTTGTGGATATTGTAACTGTTAGTATTCCTATAATGTACTTTACTGAAGTTGGCATTGGCAGGCCAGGACAATTGTAACAGAGCAGAGTATAATGTTTACTTTCCAATCAATGCAGCATCTTTCTATTGCAATAAACAACTCTTCTTTATTCACTTTTAAACTTCTAGGGGACTTCATCCAGTTATTATTGTCACTGTTATTTATAAGAACTGTCTTACTCCTTAATTTCATCATACTCTAATTTGAAGAGTGATTTCATTTTGAAAGAATCTAGCAGAGAATGTGACTCTAATGAGATCTTCCAGTAAGAAAATCCTATCTTAATGACTGTGATGTGGAGAAACCTGTTGTGAGCAATCTATAGGTGATTCAACACTCAAATTCAGGGTGTGAAAATAGGACTAAGATGGCAGTCATAATTAGTGCTGTGAAAGTATACATCTGCTCAATGATATTTTTATAGTTACAAAACCATCATACAGATGTACTTTGATCATTTGGCAATTATATAGATAACTGTTTTTATTGATTTTAATGATGGATGGCCAAGTGGGCCAAGAAAACTATATAGAGATTATCACCTGGTTTCCTGAAATGATTTATCATTATTTTGAAGAAAAGACATTTTCTGGACAAATAGCACAAAGGTTCTGGATAGTCTATCATCTGCTGAAGCTTTGTATATAGAATATCAAGGAACTTTTGCAGTGCTGAGGTTTTGCTTGTACTGTAGAATTTGCCATTAGAATGTCTGAGTCTACTTGGGCTGCTGTAACAAAATACAAAAAATGAAGTGGTTTATAAACAGCAGAAATCTATTTCCCACCTCTGGAGGCTAGGAAGCCCAAGATTAAGGTGCTGGCAAATTTGGTGTCTGATGAGGACTCACTTTCCAGTTGTTTATAGCTGCTATAATCTCACATGGTATTTCTCTGAGGTCTCTCTTTCCAATGTCATTAATACCACCCACAAAGCTCTGTGTTCTCAACCTAATCATCTTCCTAAAGCCTCCACCTCCTAATACCATCACCCTGGGGTTTAGGATTTCAACATATGAATTTGGGCTAGGCACAAGCTTTCAGACCAGAGCAGAGTCTTAGGTTTTCTTGGTAATGTGAATTTACTATTAGTAATAGTAAACTCAGAATAGTTTACTATTTCTGCCTCTGTTTAAGAAATATATAAGTGGGCCAGCAGGTGGCGTGGTGGTTAAGGGGCTGAATCCTGCATGGCTAACTCCGCCTTTCGAGTCCCAGAGTCAGCAGCTTGAAAACCACCATGACATTATTGGGATTCAGTTATAGTTTTTTTACCTGTTGATGATGATGTATATAGTATTCTCAACTGGACAGGTCTGAGAAGTATTTCATGTTGGGTAAAGTCTTTTTATAAGCAAAATGATAAATAGTGATTGAATGTTTAAAAAATAACTGGAATAATAATAATAATCTGGAAAAAATGAAAAGCTATTGGATGATGATGGGGATTTTAATGTTTCTGTATTGACTGATGTGAATGGTATTCCTTCTGGAAAAAAGAAATGTAATACACTATAAAAGTTATATGTGATTCAATGTAATATAAACAAGATTATGAAAATAATAAAAAATAAAACAAAAACAAAACATCACACCAGGTGCATATGCTTGCATATCCAAAATCCAAAGAGAATGGAGGAGAGGTGGCTTGGACATTCCCCAGGGGAATGATTTCTCATTCTTCTCTTTCTGTCTCTGTTTCTCTTCAATGAGCAAACATGCCCTCTTACCCAAAAAAAAAAAAAAATCTAATAAATAAATAAAAGAAATACGTAAGTGATATTTTCAATAGAATGGTATTTAGTTCAAAGAATCATTATCCACCTTAATTATATCTAAAAGTCAGAAAACAGAATCATTCTTAATTTACTCTTCTTCATTATTCAAATTATTACCAGAATAGTTATTTTGCTTTAAAAACATACCTTGAAATTATTTTCTCTGCAATTCTTCTTCTGACCTAGTTTAGTTGAAGCATCCGATACTCATGCAGGTAGGAGCCAGATAATTTACATAGATGATAAAAGCAGAATTCATGGGAAGTAATTGTGAATTCTGGGATCTTAGAAAGCTGAAAACAGATGCCCTCAATAGGTACAATTGGTATTCAGTTACAGCAAATGAGAAACCTCTGCCCAGTGTGGAAGCTGAACAAAATCTGAAAAACAGATGTGTTATAGCTCATGACCTGCCAGTCGGTAACCTTTATTTCATGCCCTCATCACCTTTCTTCTGTATTGTGGCAGTGGGTCCTGCCTTTAGCTACACTTAGAGCCAGTTCATTCTCTCTGCTGCACTAGAATGATGCTTCCAAGAGTCCAATGATAACCATTTCATTCTCCTTTTAAAAACAGCTTCTACATCATCACATTGTATACTACATAAAATATAAAAGTCCAAATCTCAGCTATGATACATAAAGGGGCATTCTTGAATTTGGCCTTTTCTACCTTTTTCAGTCTTACTACTCAACCATGCTCCTACCTCATATATTATTCTTCAGAAACACAGAAGTACATCGTCCAAGTGCACCATGTTACTGATGCCCTGTGCCTGTTCTCTGCCTGCAGTTTTTACCTTCACCCTGTCTAATTGGTTGACATTTTCAACTTTCACTTAGGTCTTGGTACCTCTCTGAAGTCTCATGTCTCCTGCACATACTAGGCCATACTATAATAGGTCCTCAGAATATGGTTTTCCTTAACTGCCTCACATGTACATCATCAATCCATTCAAGTTTTTGTTCCCTGTCTGCTCACTGGATTAATTACCTTCAACCATGCTTTAATGCACAGACCTCTACTACTCCTTTTTCTTTCTCCAGTGTCTAGCACAGTGTTCAGCACTGTAATCCTGCAGAGCTGAATATTAACCTGTTGCCAATACACTGTTCATATTCCTATATGAAGGCGATAAGAAAGAGAATGATGAATGTTTTTACAGTGATTTCTAACAGAGACAAAATTATTTGGGGAGGTGTGAAAATACTTAATCTCTAGGGCAATCAGCTTGTTATTTCTTATTTTTTATCTTTTAAGTCATATAAGGGCTATATATCCTGAGAATCATCTTATTCTAGGGCTTTCCAGCTTGATGTACTCAATCCAAAAACTGTTTAAGAAGGAGGGCAAAAGTCCAATCAATCTCAGTCGTGGGGTGATTTCAGAAAACACTAATATTGTGGTGTCAACTGGCTGCTGACTGATCGGACCATCTCAGGCAGAATCTCCCCTGGTTGTATTTAATGGGCATTTATACATGGAATTTGGCTCATGACGCTGTTTGAAGTCATTTTCTCTCTACACTACACTGGGTATATAGTTCATAATTTTTTGACCTGTGTGATTTATGTGTCTGTTTTCTACAGATTTTGTTTTGATATCAGAAACTATTAATCCTTCAAAGTCCTGCAGTCGTAATGTGAACTGCCAACTGCATTGATTTGCAATTGGCATTAGAGTATGCTTGGACCATTTTATAATAATTCTGATCTGTTGTTAAGTGATAGCTTTTTCTACCCTGAAATTGTCAAATATAGAATTTACCCTGGGAACCAGCAGTTAGCGTAATGGCTATGTCACTGGACTCCCACATAGTCGACCACGGTTCGTGTCCCGGACCTGGTGGCTTAAAACTCACACCTGGCGTATGTGTGTGCGTGCCCAAGATCCCGAGAGGAGAATGGAGGAGAAGGGATTGCGGCGTGACCATCCCCCTGGGGGGTGATTTCTCGTTTTCTGTCTCTATGTCTCTCTCTGTCTGTCTGGCGAGCGCACGTGCCCTATAGCGAAAACCTCTAAAAAAAAAAAAAAAGAATTTACCCTAACTCTTTAACAAAAATATATTCAGTCTAATCTAATTGAGACCTCTGAGTTTCTTTTATTGATTTTATATCAACTTTGTAGTTAAGGAAAGTAACAACTTTTAATTTCCCTACTGTTGAAGTATAATTAGTAAACTTATTATTACTTACATTGATTTTTTCCCTGAATTTGGATGTTACTGTATATGTTATATTTGCATGTGTGTGTATTTGGCGTGTGTTTATAAGACTAATTTGTATAAAAGACTAATTTGAGGGTCATTTCATATGTGGGTTCTTATAATGACTACGGTGTCATAGAAGCCTTTTAAAAAATTACAGGCTTTTAATGCCCCTAGAGTATACTTAGTTCTGTGCTTAATTAGTAAGAGTAATATAATCCTTCAGACTCAATAGAATCTATTATGGTGATTTTAGCACCATAAACTTCAAGGGAAATATTTTTTAAATTATGGATAGATTGTTTGGAATATGTAGGGAGAGCATAACATGAAGCGTAAGTTATTGGGAAAGAAATGATTAGGAATATGTGGGTCAATCCTAGTATATGTAAGCTTATTTACTAAGACACCTGCACATCTTACTAATAAAAGTGTTTGCAACTGGATATCAAGTCTCTGAGGGAAAAATGTGCTAACATTTAGCTCATATACTGGTAATTCTTTTTTTTTTTTTTTAATTTTTTAGTAGGGCTTTAGGGGAAAAAGACAAAAAAGAAAAAAAATTTGGTTTGCTCCCTTCTTTTTTTGCCCCTAGATTTTCTCTAATCTTGAAAATGTTTCAGTATTCTGGCTTCACTTAAAGAAATTAAGTACTTTCAACTAAGCCTGAATTTTTTTTTTTTTTTTTTTTTAGGATATGGAAAACCCTAAGCATTACTTAATTGTGATTGGGTAATTTGCTGTTTTTTAGGGAATGATGTACCTGGAAGAAAGACGACTTGTTCATCGGGATTTGGCAGCCCGTAATGTCTTGGTGAAATCTCCAAACCATGTGAAAATCACAGATTTTGGACTAGCCAGACTTTTGGAAGGAGATGAAAAAGAGTATAATGCTGATGGAGGAAAGGTAGGTATCTTTTTTATAACAGCATTGCTTGAAAGCCTATTGTTACATCTTTTGTCTTCTTATATTTTAAAGAAAGAAATAAATAAATCTAAGGTTTAGGAATCTATACAACTTCAATAGTATAATTTGCCTTTTCTTTTGCCAGGGATCCAAAAATATAGAATCAATAAGCCCCTTCCATTTCTTAGAGGTAGCTAACACAAGGTGATGCTTATGAATCTTCATGTAGTTCTCTTGAAGACAAGTGGGTAGATCTTTTAAAAACTCCAGAAATTAAATTTTAATACTTGCCTTGGGAATTGTCCCATTGACCGTAAGAGCATAAGATGAACTCTTACAGATATACTACTTCTCTCTCATGGATTAGAGAGAAGCTTGGTTACTACTAGGGAACTGTAACTCTTTGAAAGGTTGACCACCTAATTTAACTTCTAATGCACCCCCTACCCATACAATGGCTTCTTCTTATTTTTGTTCATTTTGTTTTAGCTTTATTACGTGTATAATTTCCTACGTTATTTATTACCTGACTCCTTCCACTGGAATATAGACCACTATATCCCAGAGGCCTGAATACAACCACTGCTTTGTCTAACTTTTCTGATTCTTTGGTCGCAGCCCCTGCCTTAAAACTGTGTTCCTGCTTTTCTTCCTCCACATATATTCTCAGTTCAACTCTCATTTGTTTATTAACACTCTATATAACTTTCCATTCTTGGCTAATCAATTAAGATAGTCTTTATAGAGAGGTTCCTCTAGCTTGGCTTAGGGAAACCTAGGTTCAGACAAACCAAGTGAAATAAGCAAATGCCATCTAAACTATGTCATCCTATCAGTTTATGTTAATGGGAGTTACATACATGTCATATAAATATTATTATATACTTCATTTGTCATAGGTCATCTGAATATGTATTGGAAAAATTTATAATGATAGACTTCCAAATGTTTCACATTGATTTTATCTTAAACTTGTGTAACTGTCAATATTAAAATCTACACATGACAAAGTAATGTAAAATTAAACACACACACACACACACACACATCTTCAGTTTTGAGGAATCATCTCACTTTTTTTTTCTTGCCTATTTTCCTGTTCACCATCGAATTGTAGTAGTTTGAGCCCACGGATTTGAAATTCACTACAAGATTGCACAGAAGGAGAAGTCTATAAATCACATGACTTCGCTTGTCTTAAGAACATACAGCTGTAGGATTTGTCTAAAGCAAGATTCATTATAGCTTTAAATGCCTGGTAACCATTAAGTCTTTATCAAGCCACCTGTGATTTAAACTTACTTCTTTAACACAATGTCCGTAGTCCATAAAGTCTGCTAACTCCTTGCCCATAGGGAAATTACTTTCAATGTGTCTTCTGTTCCCTTTCAGTGAATACCATGATTCTGTCATAGAGTTACCTTGATGTCACCTTGGTGAGCAGCCAACCTCATGATTTCAAAGGCCTATTTCGTTTTAAGCTTTCAACTGCAAAGTAGAAGTGTTTATCTTTATTCCATAGAATCTAATTATATCCCCAGCAATATTAAGCTGCCCTTCGTAGTTGAAACTCATTCTGCTGACCCATCATCAGCAGGGTATGGTGGCTGACTTGTTTTTCTCGTAGTGATGATGGATTTGTGCTGATCCACTCACATTCTTTCATATAGTTCCTATTTTGAAAATGGTACATATTTTCAATACTGGCTAAGTAAGATGAGAGAGGTCATTTGTGACTGGGGAACAAAGCAAAACTAACTTTGGAATTCCTGTTTTTAAGCAATTTAGTGACCAAATTAGAGAGGAGAAAGGAGGAAATAAGTGTAAAAAGAGTCAACTGTACTGGTGACCCCAAAATGTGTCTGAGAGTGAAAAAGGATAAATAAAAATGTAAGAAATCTCATTTATTGGGAAAAAATATGATATGAACACTGTTTTAGAAGCATATGTGTTAGATGTCTAAATGTGCTACTGTGAGTCATAATATTAACTAGTAACTTATCAAACATTAAGAAGTGTAGAAAGTTATCCTTATTTTATTATTTTAACTGTCTATAAAGCTTGTTAGAATAATATAACACAATTTTAGGCGAATTTACTTTATGAATTTTATAAATTTTGATTTACATGTTCCCAAGATTGAAAAATAACCTACTTATCTGTGTGTATATATATATACACACACTCACACAATAAAAATATATAATCGAGGCCAGTCAAGAGACATATTTAGGGGACCAGCAGTTAGTGTAATGGCTATGTTGCTGGACTCCCACATAGTCAATCACGGTTTGAGTCCTGGACTCAGTGGTTTAAGCTCACTCCGGGTGTGTGTACGTGCGTGCCCATGATCCCAAGAGGAGAATGGAGGAGAAGGGATTGCGGCGTGATCATCCCCCCTGGGGGGGTGATTTCTTGCTTTCTGTCTCTCTATCTCTGTCCATCTGGCAAGCAACTTGCCCTATAGCAAAAACCTCTCCAAAAATAAAAACAAAAAGGGAAAAAAAAGAGACATATTTAGGAAATAAAAACAGAAATAACTTGTATATAATCATGAAACTTTCACTTCTTATTTCTCTATAGATGCCTATTAAGTGGATGGCTCTGGAGTGTATACATTACAGGAAATTCACCCATCAGAGTGACGTCTGGAGCTATGGTAAATAAATCTTCCCATGTGAATTAAAGCTTTAAAGGCAAAAATAAACACAGTAAGCTCATGTAAAATATCATGTAAAATTATTTTATAGTGGGGTAGCCAATGGCATGGTGGTTAAGGCATATGGAACCCAACTAGCCAAATGTGAGATTTGAGTCCCAGACCCATCAACTTGAAAAACACACCAGGTATATGTGCATTCATTCCCCAAATTCCAAAACGAGAAATGGAGGAGAAGGAATTGTGGCATGACTATCCCTCATGGGATGTGCTTTTTCACTTTCCCTTTCTCTCTGTCTCTCTTCATTGACCCCAAGCACTGAACTCTAGTAACTTAAAAAATCATTTTATTGTGCTTGAAGTATCTGTTTATGGGCCAGGCGGTAGCACAGCAATAACGTAATGAGATCCACATGGAGAAAGTCATGGGATCACATCCCGAGACCTCTCTGAACATACTGGCACACACAGGCGTATCCATGATACAGGCTGGATGAAACTCCTGTTGGGAATGTGTGTGTGTATGTCTGTTTCATATGAAAACCATAAACAAGCAAACTTTATATGTAAAAAGAAGCATGTATTTATATGCCTCATTTCTTAAATTAACTCTTTGCTTCTTGACTAAAAAGCAAAACACTTTAAATAGCATTGTTATCTGCCTTTTTTCTTATTTCCTGGTTCTTTAAACTACAGTTTTAAACTTTATAGTTTTAAACTATAAAAACTATAATTTATTAATTACACTATCTGCTAATTTGTCTACTTTAGTGTCTAGTTTGGAAAGCAACTTTTCTGATTTTATTTTATTAACAAGTCATAACTGTATACATTTATAAGGCACTATGTGGTGTTTGATATACGTTCACAATGGTGGCATAGGCAAATCTAGATAATTAACATTTTTATCACCTTGCTCATGTATCAATTTTTAGGAGTCATTTTAAATTTACTTTCTTGGTTGTTTTGAAATAAATAATAAATTATTAGTGAATATAGTTACCTAACTGTACCATAAATTTCAAACCTATCTACCCATCTGGAACTTTGTACTCTTTTAACAATATTCCCTATTTCTCCTTCCCCAACTTCAACACTAGTCTCTGTTAACTGTCATTCTACTCTCTACTTCTAAAAGTTCAGCTTTATTAGATATCACATATGAGATCACACAGTGCTGGTCTTTCTGTGTTGGCCTATTCACTTAGCACAGTGTCCTCCAAATTCAGCTGTGTTGTCACAGATGGCATGACTTCCCCCTTTTGAAATCTGAATAGTACTCCATTGTGTATACATACCACATTTTCCTTATTCCATAATCTGCTGGTAGACACCTGCATTGTTTCTATAATTGGGTTACTGTGAATCATGCTGCAATGAACATGTGAGTGGAGATATCCCTTCCATATACTGATTCAAGTTCCTTTGGATATATACTCAGAAGTAGAATCATTGGGGAATATGGTGGTTCTGCTTTACTTTACTGAGAAATCTCCATACTACTTCCCACAATGGCTATCTATACCGGGTTACATTTTCAGTAACAATGGGTAGGAGTTCGCTTTTCTCTGCATCATCTTAAATGGTTATTGTTAATCCTTTCAATAATGCCATTTTAACAGGTGTGAGATAATAGCTCATTGTGGTTGGAATTGATCATTATTTTAAAGTTTATTCATCATACCTGTGAGTGACAAAGACAGAGAAACAGCACACACAGCAGGGTCTTGACACTATGAGCAAACCTCAGCTTCAGTCAGCCCTTGATCATGGGCAAGTACATGCCCAATAAACTTAGGGAGGTCTCCAGACATAAACCCTGAACCTTCTAATGTGAGCCAGCCAAACAGAGCATCCGATTTTACTGCCATTCCACAATTTAGCCCTAGGACAATTTTGACAGAAAAAAATAAAGCTCATTTTAATTTTAGGACGATTTTAGAGAATCTCATGGCCTTAATTAAAAAAACAAACAAACAAACAAACAGAACTCTGAAAAAAATAAATCTTAAGGCAGTCAGTAGTGTGGGAGTTAAGGTGGCTGGGTGCTACATGGCCAGCTACATAGTTCCAGTTCTGGACCCTATGGCTTAGAAAACATGCTGGGCATGTGTGTGAACACATGTGCCCCAAATCCTGAGAGGAGAAATGGAGGAGAAGGATTGTAGCATGCCCATCCCACATTGGGAGTGTTTTCTCACTTTTCCTCTCTCTCTGTCAGACAAGTGCAAATGCCCTATATAAAAATTAAAAAAAAAAAAAGAATAAAAAGAAAAGAAAGGAAAGAAAAATAACTCTGAATTACATGAATGCTAAATTTTTGGACAATTACTGAAAGTAATAAGTGAGAATGATGGGCCTCAGGGCTGAGATAAGAGCAGACAGCTAAATTATAACTTGATTTTTTTATTTGGAGAGAGTTTTGCTGTAGGGCACATGCTCTTGCCAGAAAGACAGAGACAGACAGAGAGATAGAAAGTGAGAAATCACTCCCCCATGGGAGAAGGCCATGCCACAATCCCTTCTCCTCCAGTCTCCTCTCAGGATCTTGGGCATGCACGTACACGTGCCCAGCGTGGGTTTAAGCCACCAGGTCCTGGACTCGAACCATGGTTGACTACATGAGTGTAAAGCGACATAGCCATTGCACCAACTGTTGGTCCCAATGACTTTGATTTTAATTTACAAACTATTTTTACAGTAACTGAGATCAAGAGTGAATAATACATAAAGTTTATGCTTCACAGATCTAGAAAAGACAATTATAAAGTTTGTCTGGAATAATAAAAGACCCCATATTGCCAAGGCAATTCTGCACAAAAGTGGAGTGTGAGGCATCTCACTGCCTGACCCAAAAATATACTACAAAGCTGTGGTAATCAAAACAGCATGGTACTGGCACAGAAACAGATAAATGGACTAGTGGAACAGCATAAGTCCCCAGAAATAAATTCCAAAATATACAGTCAACTGATTTTTGACAAGGGGTACCAGTCAATCCAGTGGGAAAAAGAAAACCTCTTCAGCAAATGGTGCTGGAAAAACTGGATTTCCACTTGCACAAAGATGAATCTGAACCCCTACCTCTCACCTTTGACAAAAATCAAGTCAAGGTGGATTAAAGATCTAAATCTAAGACCTCAAACTATAAAACTGTTCCTGGAAAACACTAAGGAAACTCTGAGAGACATTGAGGTAGGCAAAGACTTCTTAAATAAGACGCCCAAAGCACAGTCAATAATCCCAAATCTCCAAAATAGACAAGTAGGGTTACAGCAGACTAAGAAGTTTCTGCATGGCAAAAGACACAGTAATTAGTGTGAATCGATAGCCCTCAGAATGGGATAATATTTTGTGAAATATATTTGTCAGATAAGGGACTGATAAACAGAAATCACAAGGACCTCAAACAGCTGTTCTAAAAAAAGATGATCAATCCTATTAAAAGATGGGAGAATGAGTAGAAAAAGCCACTCTCTAAAGATGACATAGGAATAGCTAAAAGACATATGAAAAAATGCTCAAGATTTCTCATTGTAAGGGAAATGCAGATCTAAACAACAATGAGATACCACCTTATCCCAGTCAGAATGGCTAAGATAAAAAATAAAAATAAAAAAAAAAGATAAGTGCTGGTGGCGGTGTGGTGAAAGGGAAACTCTCTTACACTACTCTACTGATGGGAATGTAAAATGGTCCAGCCACTGTGGAGAACAATTTAGAGATTCTTCAAAAAATCTACAAATAAAACTACCATATGATCCAGCAATCCCACTCCTTGGTATCTACCCGAAGGACAGAAGAATTCTTCATCGGAAAAGTGCTTGCACGTCCATGTTTATTGTGGCACTATTCACAATTGCTAAGTCATGGAACCATCCCAAATGCCCACAAACAGACGAATGGATAGAAAAACTGTGGCACATATACTCTATGGAATACTATTCAGCCATAAAAAACAGCAAAACCCTGGCTTTTGACAGAAAGTGGAAGAATATGGAAGATTTACTTCTGAGTGAATCAAACCAGGTTATGAAGGAGAGACATTTTATGTACCTACTTAATATATACCGAATATATACTGAAACTGATGGACTAAAGGATATAGAAACACAGTATATGTACGTAAATATCAGATAAAGTGTATGTGAAAGAGTAGGGTCTGAGGAAGGATATTTAGAAGAAAAATAGGGAGGCAAAGCATTAATGGGACAAAGAGATGTGGTATTATCTGTTGAAGATAATTTATGGTTTTATCAACTAGACTAGAGAGAAATGTTCACGTATTCAAATACTTTGTAAGCTAAATGATGCGATTGAATGTATAATAGAAAATGTAATATAAATGTAAAAAAAGTGAATAATATGAACTGGATAAGAGTGATATTTATGGTTATAGCATTTATTTCATTGTGTTTAACTCAATTCTTACAATTTAAGTTTTTAAATATATCTTATAAAGCTAGTATTTCTTAAAAATAAAAAGGGCAAAGCCCATTTAAGTAAAAAAAGACAGTGGTAGGATTTAAAAATATGGTACAGTTTATTTTACTTAAGTTTCAGCTTAGTTGTATTTTTTTTTTTTTGCTTATGTGTACTTTTTTCTTTCCATTTTTTTCCTACTTAATTTTCTATGAATTAGATGGCAATATGCTTGGAGACAAATTTTAAGTGACCTCACAATAAATAAATAAATAATGTGGGCGTGTATATAAATATTGACAGAATAGTCAAATTAATTGTAAATTTGTCTTTTGGAAAAAATCTTGTTAACACTGGCTATATAATATTTCTTCATGTTGAGTTGCAAAATTCCAGAAGTTTTCCAGTAGAAATAAATAGATGTTTATAAAGCTTTTTAAGCTTTTTATTATATATTATAATTATTTGCAAAAGGAATAAAAGGCAATGAATGCTAGATAGTCTTGTTTACAATACATCTTTTTTTTAAGAGGTTTTTGCCTTAGGGTGTTTGTGCTCACCAGCTAGAGAAAGAGACCGAGATAGTGAAAGGAGTGTGTGTGTGTGTGTGTGTGTGTGCAAGAGGAAGAAGGAGAGAGACAGAGACAGGGACAGTGAGAGGGAAAGTGAGAAATAACCACCTAGGGGGGATGGCTATGCCATAGTTTCTTCTTCATTTTTCTCACAGGATCTTGAGCACACACACACACACACACACACACACACACACACACACACATACACAAAGCCTGCTGATTTTCAAGCCACCAGGCCTGAGACTTGAACCATAATCAGATATGTGGGAGTCCAGTGAGGTAACTGTTATGCCATCTGCTGGTCCTTGAAATGCATCTTTATGGAAACTTAACACTAAAGTATATCTTTATTTTTATAAAAATAAATATGCATCAACTATGGTATATTTCTTCAGATGATGAAACTGAAATGTTAGTTTTAAGGTAGTTTCTGATTGAGTTATTCTGAGATAGTCCTTTTACATTAAGCCACTCTTATTTAACGTTATTTTGTTATCACTCCTCACAAAGAAGTAATTGAGTTATTATCATCAGAAATGGGAATTTTGATGCCTTGACTTTTGTTTTTGTGTTTAGATCATATTTTCCATCATATTGATTTATAATTGCTTTGTATCTTGCTCATATATTTTTAAATTTTATTTATTCATGTATTTAATTCAATTTGACCAGAGAGAGATACACACAGAGAGATAGAGAAAGAAAGAGGGAGGGAAAGTGAAAAAGGAAGCCATCAGGTCAGGGACTTGAATGATGGTTGGCCATGTGGCAGTGTCCAGCACCTTAACCACCATGCCATCTGATGGTCCTCGTATCTTGCTTATATTGAAGTCCTTATAAAGATGTGAGAGCATCTGTTCTGTCTTTTGTAACTGTTTGCATAAGTTAATAAATGTTCTCATTAAATATACATTCTATTACTTTGACTGAATAATGAAAAATGGACAGTAATCCACTGGACATTTGCTCCAGCTTGCTTGAATATTGAGTTTTATCATTGATCTATGAGGTCATTCTTAATATGCAAAATTAAGGATTTAAAAAAAACCAACCAGGTGTGGCAATAGTTATATGTTTACATTATATTAGTATACAATGGGGCCAGCAAGTGTTTAAGGCACTGTACTTCCATATGGCTGACTGTGGTTTGCATCCCACACCTGGTGGCTTGTCTTCTCACTTTCTCTCTCTCTCTCTCTCTCTTTCTCTCTCTGTCTCTTTTTGGTGAGTGTACATGTCTTATAGCAAATTTTTAAAAATAATAAAAATAATAAAATTAAATAGCTGATTCTTTAAAAAAATTCATATAATGTAAATATTAACAAAATAAATATGGATAATTTGGTGTTCACATGTACTTTTAGCTTTATATTTTTATTATGAGAAAATGTTGTAAAAGACTTCAGAGTGAATATTTAATTCATTACAAATGACAGTGGCAAAGAAAACATCCTAGTTAATGGATTTTTATATTACAACATTTCTACATATATTCATCAATCAAAATTCACTTTGTAATACTCTTGTGCCAACTCAACTATTTTTGAACTTAAAAATCCTTATCCTTAAGAATATAACTTTAAAAGAGGGTATACACTATTTTCTACTAAAACTAGGTATTTGTTAATATAAAAAGAAAATGATCTTGTCATATACTAACATAATATAAAAAGGAAGTATAATGGTTTTATTCCCAGTATCATGAATTTTTTAAGCAGCTTTCATTTTAATTATCGTATTATAAAAAAGAGATCCATAGTGTATACAGTATTGCTTTAAAAAGAATCATTATTATTATCAAAACTAGCTGCTTACACATTAACATTTAGGGTATTTGCATTTTCAGAGGAAATTATTGTCCTAGTGATTCAAGAAAGTTGTCATTACTTGAAGAATAAACTATTCTTGATTTACTTCCCTTTCATGGCTGCTCACATCACATGTATTGTATCTTAAATGCAGACCATTCCTTACTCAGGCTCTCTCGTCTGTGCTAAAGAAACAAATGTTTTATTCCACTTGTTTTCTTTTTTTTAAAAAAGAGAGTGATAAATCGTTCCCATAACATAAGATAATCATTCTTGAACCCCAGCTTACCTTTTTAAGGCTTTATTTACCTGTTTGTTTCTTCTGAGAGTTACACTTAATAGTGTCTTCTGCTGTTATCTTTCCCCCAGCCCTCTTGCCAGCCAGGGTCATGGGTGTGCCCAGCAGCCTGGCGTGTTCAGTAGATCTGGGATCCCAACCTAGGTCTTTCTTGTATGGTTCCAGCACTGTGCAGCAGTGTGCCTCACAAGGCTTTTAGAGCAAAGATGCTCGTCTCAGAATTAGTTGATACCAAATTTTATGTGCAGTCATATTTATTTATACTGAATATGTAGGCATAAAATAAATTAATTATTTTATGGGCTATAATGTGATGTCATGAAATGTACCGTGGATCAGCAAATGTTAGCATTATTTATAAGCAGTATTAAGAAGCAGATTCTACATTGACTCTAAATTGTCTCTGCTATCCATTAAAAAATCCAAGACAAAAATAAAAGACTTAAATTATTTCATGAATATTTGGCATTGGGGTCTTATAGCAGATATAGGGGTTCTTTTTTGGGGGGGAGGGTGTGTGCACTCACCAAAAGACAAAGAGAGAGAGAGAGAGAAATCATCCCCCCCAGGGGGGATGGCCCCAGCACAATCCCTCTTCCTCCATTCTCCTCTCTGGATCTTGGGCACACACGCACATGCGTCCTGCCTGAGTTTAAACCACTGGGTCCGAGACTCAGACTACAGTTGACTATGTGGGAATCCAGCAACATAGCCATTACACTAACTGCTGGTCCCTAGGAATTCTTATACAATATTTCTTTAAACATTTTTGATTGCCTTTGGTGAGAATTATTTTGCCACTGTGTTGTTGCTGTGTTGAAAGTGTACTGTTAATATGCTTATATAATCATTTGATTTCTACTTTAGGAGTTACTATATGGGAACTGATGACTTTTGGAGGAAAACCTTATGATGGAATTCCAACCCGAGAAATTCCTGATTTATTAGAAAAAGGAGAACGTTTGCCTCAGCCTCCTATCTGCACTATTGACGTTTACATGGTCATGGTAAAATGTAAGACTGCACAATTATTTTATCATCCCCATAATCAATGTTAGTAGAGAAATAAATAGCACAGATCATGCTACTTGCATAATGCAGCTCTATATTGATTGAAAAATAGAGCAGTTCAAAATGATTACAAGGGGGGGACATGTAAACACCTGTGTTTGTTGTAGCTATTATTAATATCAAATACCATCATGCTTCTCAGCTATGAAGTCAAAATCATATGACTCTTACTCTTGTAATTCCTATGACAGTCAAAATGTCACAAAGAAATATAATTAGCTACAACGTAATATTTTTAATAATGTTAGGTCTTTATAGAAAAATAGCATTCTAAGTAAATGATCAAAATATAAAGCAAGAAAGCTTGAAACTGATAGTTTAAAAAAATAATGAAACGGAAATGGATTTAGTAGCTTTAGTGCAAAAGTAATTAGCAGGGCAAGGTAAGACGTGGGAAGAAATAAATCTACATTGAAATAAAAAGATTATGAATGTTTACATTTTTCAATTCGATCATTTGTTTACATCAAACTCTCTTACTTTTATTCTCTTTCCTGTGCCCCAGACACATATGTATTAGAAATGTGTTTTCCAAGCCTAGGCCCTTAATTTAAACAGAATTAGGGAAGTCTCTAGAGTTTCTGACTTAATTTAAGTGAGATTAACGTGCAGCGATCTCTCTTGTATAATCTGGGGTTTTCCCCTTTTGATTTGCACAGGGTTAGCAAAGAAACAAACTGGTGAAGGTGAATAAGCATCTTATTAATAAGAGACTTTGGACCTGGGTCTACTCAGATTTATATTCATGACATGTGTGATACATTCTGACAGTGAGGGAAGAAATAAAATATGTTCCTTGCAGTTCAGGTCAGCTTGCCCTTTTCTTTAAGCATATTTCTATTTACTCAATATTTAGTTAGAGAGAAACCAATACTTCACAGCAAAGTTAACCTTTTTTGCTTCAATAGTTTCAAAAGCACCTATTTTCTCATTAGCATCTTAGCATTAAAAAGCATTATTATTTTTTTAAATGAATGCATGTAGAATAGAGAGTGGAATATAGAGTGTTTGAGCTTTGTTAGGAGAGAAGAAAAGCAGGTTACATTAATGATACATAAAATAACACCCCAAAAATTCCCAGAAGAGGAAGAAATGTTGAAGTTCCAGAAAAAGAAACAAAGTTAGCTTTATTCAACCAAACATTGTTCTGTAAACATCTATGAAATCAAGTTTCAAAACATTCATGCATTATATATTTTGAAAAGTAACCAACATAAGAGATCATTTAAATATTCTGAATAAATTATGTACATCAAGCAAAATATTTAGTGTAATGTTTTTACCTCTCCCCCCATAATACTTGAAGATCTCTGCAAGAAAATCAGGGAAAACTTGGTGCTTTTATTTTTGTCATCTCATCAGCTAAACAGAACCTGAGATCGTATCTCTATACCAACCTTATCTACATTCCCAGCTAAATCATAATACACATCATGAATATTGCTGATAAGATTTTTACAGTGGAAAGTCTGGTAGTAAGATAAGCTAATGCTGTTGCTGAACTAACATTATCAATCTTTGCATTAGATTTTTTTTTTCCTCCCAATGAGGGAAAAAAAAAATTCATGAAAAAGTTGCTTGCTTTCTATTCTCTTTTATTCTTCTTCGTGCCAGTATACTTTATAACCAAGTCTTTACTCCTCTGATACTCCTGAAACAAAATGATGAATTATATTCCAGGCACCTCATCTACAACTATCAAAGAAAAGTTAAAATATTTTTCCACATCAAAGAAAAACGATCTGAGATCCTGTAGGTTCCCATAGATACCATCGTTCTATTTTCTAGGAAGAAAAATTTAAAATCAGATTAACAAAATAAAAATTTTATCTATTATGTGATAGTACATTACATGGGTTTATGAATATCAACAAGCAGATTGATATAGAACCATACCTATTAGAAGATTTCTTTCACCAGCTTTCTTTGTTTTTCAGATCTTGTTATTAAAAGAATATTTTTCACACTTTAATGTATGTTTTCACAAAACTTAAATCTCATTTCTTTTTTCTACTTGTGGATATACTGACACTTATTATATATAAACTTCTAGGTTGGATGATTGATGCTGATAGTAGACCTAAATTTAAGGAACTAGCTGCTGAATTTTCAAGGATGGCTCGAGACCCTCAAAGATACTTAGTTATTCAGGTGAGTAGATTTGACTTATGTTTTTAAGACTATCCCAGTGGCAAAATCACTGAATGTGAATAATACTTATACTTTGGAACTGTGGAAATCATCACTAATATTGATTAACTAGTAAATTATTTTATGAAGAAATTTAAGGAAAAGAGCTTTGTATTTCATTTCAGCAACATCTCTAACTAATTCCTTTAGTATTCACGTGACTTGCTATTAAACAGTGAGATAATTATGATTACACATATACATGAAAAGGTCTTTATCTCTAGACAAGCCTTTTAGCACTCTGCTTTTATTAACATTATGTGTACGTCGTGTTTATTAACATAAGCTTTTCTTATCAGAATAAAAACAAGATTTTTTTGTTTTAATCTTATCCATGCTTAGAGGTAACAAATTGAGAATTTCAGCATGTTAACATTTAATTTCCTAGAAAAATATTTTATACAATTTTAGGAGATATGTAGTATTCAAGCAATATTTTGACTCAAATTAATTGTACACATATGAATCAAGTAACAAATCAAATAAAATTTTATATTTAATACTGAAAAAAATGATATTAGATCCTTTTTAAATTATACCATATTTGTAATTATTTTTACCTAAGCTACAAACAAATGGACTTTGGATGACACTGACTTGTTTCCTCAATAAAATAAGGTAGCCTTTACCTTTGAACTAGCTGACATGAAGATAAAAGTAAAGTTCTAAAAGATGACTTCTAGCTATTTTCTCCCCAAAATTAACATCATGAACTTAAATAATTTATTTTTAAAAACTATGTAAGTTTTAAAAGTATTTATTAAATAAATAAGGTGAGAATGAGTATAACAAGAGTCTTCTTATCTTCCCCACACCCATTTATTTTATTTGCCGCTGGTGCTGTGATTGTGAATGCCACCACTTTGACATTGTGTCGTCATTTTGCTATGAACAAATCATGGAGCCTATGTATCCTGATAAGTCTACAGCATCAAATAAAATAAAGATGAATTAATAGGTGCCCTTTATAATTTATTCTTAAAGTAACAACCCCACACTGTCTTGTCAATGAACTATTGTTCTGAAATCTGAAGCAGGTTTTGCCCCCTTCAAAGTATCCACAGCATTCTTTATTCTTCTCTAATGGAGTTTATTGCATTCTTTTTAAAAATTATGATTATTTTTTCATTTACATTTTTATTTCATTTTCTTTTATACATTCAATCACATTATTTAGCTTACAAAGTGAATATTTCAACATGTGAACATTTGTCCCTAGTCCAGTTGTTAAAACTATAAAATATTCATTCTTCTTACATCAAATTTATTTTACTCTATCACAGTTAAGCACAGTATAGGTTTCTTTCTGTCTGCTAGTTATGCTAAAGAATTATTTTTGTAATGATACATGAATTTGCCAACTATTTGTTTGATATTACATAAATATGCTGTGATGATCATATATTTAAGAAAAATAGAAGAATCATTTTATTTTTTGTATGTCTGGTGGACCATTTCTTAGGGTGATGATCGTATGAAGCTTCCCAGTCCAAATGACAGCAAGTTCTTTCAGAATCTCTTGGATGAAGAAGATTTAGAGGATATGATGGATGCTGAGGAGTACCTAGTCCCCCAGGCTTTCAACATCCCACCTCCGATCTATACTTCCAGAGCGAGAATTGACTCCAATAGGGTAAGAAGTAATTATATACAAGCACTGAGAAATTAAATCATGTAAATAGATTTTAAGCACTAAAATTTCAAGATAATTACATGACTTAAATCTGTATAATTCTTAGATTTAAATCATACTATCCCCATAAAAGATATGCCAGTGTTGCCATACACAGTACATTTTGAAAGACAAGCATGAGCAATGAAGTATGTACTCTGAAATATCTTCAAGATCTCAAAAAAAAATTCCCTTTGTCTTACATTAGTTAAAACAAATCTTAGTTTTTAATAGCTAATTCAAACTAATAGAACCATATTTATGTATAAATTAAATGAATGAAAATTCCTACCAAGTATGTTTCCTTCCTTTCTTTCCTAAAAAGATCATGTCACTAGTTAGTTAAGACCTAATTTGAGGGGCCAGAAGGTAGTGTAGTGGTTAAGGTGCTAGACTCCTGTATGGTTGACTGTGATTCTAGTCCTGGACTCAGCTGGCTTAGAACTCAGGTCGGGTACATATGCATGCATGCATGGAAATCCAAAGAGAAGAATGGAGAATAAGGGATTGCAGTGTAGTCATGCCCCCTGGGGAGGGTGATTTCTCCCTTTCTGTCTCTTTGTCTTTCTCTGTCTCTCTAGGAGTGTACACATTCTATAGTAAAAATCTCTCAAAAAGAAAAAAATAAAAGCTAATTTGAGTACAGTTGTTTTCTGATCATTTAAGAAACATTAAATATTTTTTGTGAAGAAATGCAGAAAACTGTATAATTCTTTGAATTATATCTATCATATTGAGAAGAACGTTGAATCATTTCTAAGGTGTAAATTTAAGTTTGAAAGAAACCTCTAAAGAGAAATTGTATTTCATTTTAAATGTTAAGTTCATTCAATATAAATACCATTCTTTCTATGAAAACTATTAAATCCATATATTTGTTCATTTGTTTAGTTATTTATTTTTAATTTGCCAGAGTGTGAGCATGCTTGCTGGAGAGAGAAAAAGATAGAGAAGGGGGAACCAGCAGTTAGCGTAATGGCTATGTCGCTGGACTCCCACGTAGTCAACAGCGGTTCGCGTCCCGGACCCAGTGGCTTAAAACTCACGCTGTGCGCATGTGCGTGCGTGCCCAGGATCCCAAGAGGAGAATGGAGGAGAAGGGATTGTGTATTGTGGCGTGACCATCTCCCCTGGGGGGTGATTTCTCGCTTTCTGTCTCTATGTCTCTCTGTCTGTCTGGCGAGCTCATGTGCCCTATAGCAAAAATCTCTCCAAAAAAAAAAGAAAAAATTAAAAAAAAAAAAGATAGAGAGGAAAAATGAGAAAGTAACCCCCCTATGGGGGATGGTCACTCTGTCATCCCTTCTCTTCCATTTCTTACTCTTTTGGGATTTGAGGCACGCATATTCATGTGCCTGGCATGTTTTTCAAGCAGCTCAGTCTGGGACTCAAACCATAACCACCCTGCCACTGACTGGCATTTTTGTTTATTTGTTTAAAAAAAAAATCCACCATTTATTCAGTATGTGTTGAGTTCCTCTGCATGTGAAGCAGTAGTATACATTTGAGAGTCAAAGAATTTTGACATAACTCTACCACCAAGAAATGTCCAGTATAGTGAAAAAGTCACACAAATATAACCAAAATATAGCATGATAAATGCTAGGGTCAGGTATTCCTTGGTATTCTGGAGCTTGAAGATGTAGTAACTGTGGTAGGTTTCTTCTATTGATAAGATATAAACATGATGCTTCATTTTTTCTGTAGTCATTCTTTTCTCTTTGTTTCCCCCTCCATCTCAAGAACATTACTGTAGCATGAAGAACAAACACCATCCTATTTTACTGGAATGTATACACATCAGAAAACATTCAACCTCCTGCTACTTCTCTCAAATGAAGTGACTTGTTTTATTTCAGATGGACAACAATAATAAATAGCACTCACTCAGCATTTACTACACAACACTTGTATGTTAACCCTCATAATCCTTACAACATCCCTGAGGTTCTGTTACTCTTGTGGTCTAACAAATGAGGACACTTGGCACAGAGGTTATATGATTTCACTGAATTGAGCAGATTAAGCTACCTCTACTTCACTACACTATTGCTTTAAAGTTCTTGGAACACATTATTTCCACCATATGATTATATTTTTCGGCGTCAACATCAAGAAAATTCCCAAATTCCTCTTGCCTGGGAATGTCCGTGTGACTTTCTTATTTCATCCCCTGACCTGTCCCACACCTTTTCCCTGTCTATCTTCATTTCGAAGGTCTGATATAGAAAGAGACAGAGGAGACCCCAGTTAATTTTTCTTTTCTGTAAAAAGTATATTTCAGTGCAACTGGCATTTTTATTGTATACCCAATAGGCAGGTGATAACTAAAAAGTTTAAAATTTAGACCACCTGGTAGGTAATCCATGTCAGTGGTTTTGTTTTTGTTCCCCTCTCCCAAGCCCCAGGAAGAATGAAAGTCTTTAAGATATGAAAAGGAAGAATTGGTTTTTTCTCTGTGTCTGCTTTCAAAATCACACCTGTATGCTGACTAAATCACACCTTTGTATTTACAATTTTAAGCAATGCATTTATTGCTTTTGATTACAACAGTAAAATTTGAAGAAGACAGTTGTTTTTTTCCTTTTAAAACAGTTTATTTTATTTATGAAAGTGACAACATTTTCATCTTCATGTGTATGTGAGAGAGGGTGACAGGGTCTTGTCACATTGCAATGACCCCATTTCCCAGAATTCCAGCTCCTCAGTATCTTACGCCCATATGTAACGGCTTATCTCCAGATCAACCCAGGATCTAAGCCTCCAGTCAGCCATATGGCTTCCAGCACTGCAGTATATGACCACCTGGACCAAGTTTTCTTCCTCAGTTTGAAATACTGTAAAGGCCAAGAACTTTGACATTTTTTCCATAAGAATTCTCAAATTCCAACATTTATATCATTTTTTTAATTAGTTCAAAATGTCTCTAATTGTGCAGTTTGTTATCAACAACATCAAAGCAATTATGGTACAATCAAGTAAAATGACATCATTGGTAGTTTAAACTTATAGTTTCTTTTTTTTCCCCATAATTTATTTATTTTTTATATATATTCATTCAATCACTGTATATCATTGAAATTTGTAAAATGAATTTTCCCAGCATGAATATACCATATATTAGTCCAGTTAAAGATATTATCATACATGTTATCATTAACAGATAATTTTCCATTTTTGTGCCCCTTAAATGCTTTGCTTTTCTTTTTCCACTTGATTCCCTTCCTCTCACCCTCCCCTATGTCTCATCCTCCTCCTGCACTGTCTCTAATATCCATAATTGTTCTCTATGCTTTTATAACTTCCAGTCCTTCAGTTTATGCCATAAAGTGCAGACATTTGGTATATACTAAGTGGAGACATACAATGCCTCTCTTTCATAGTCTGGGTTTCTTCGCTAGGCCGTAGATCTTCCATGTTCATCCACTTTCTGTCAAATTCCAAGGTCTTGTTTTTTATGGCTGAATAGTATTCCATAGTATATTTGCCACACTTTTTCAATCTGTTTGTGGACATTTGGGTTGGTTCCATGTCTTAGCAATTGTGAAGAATGCTGTAATAAACGTGATATGCAAGTACTTTTCTGAGTGAGTGTATTCCTATCCTTTGGGTAGATACCCAGGAGTGGAATTGCTGGGTCATATGGTAGTCGAATTTGTACATTTTTGAGGAATCTCAATATTGTCCTCCACAGTGGCTGTACTAATTTACGTTCCCACCAACAGTGGAAGAGAGTTTCCTTTTCACCACAGCCTCAGCAGCACTTACGATTTTTTTTTTTTTAAATCTTAACCATTTTGACTGGGGTAGATGGCTCATTGTGGTTTTGATCTGCATTTCCATTATGATAAGGAATATTGACCATTTATTCATGGGCTTCATGACTGTTTGCATGTCTTCCTTAGAGATGTGTCTGTCAGCTCATTTTCTCATCCCTTAATTGAGGTGATTATTTTTTCTTTCAGGTAAACCACTTGAGTCCCTACATATTCTGATTATCAATTCCTTATCTGAGGCATAGTTTCAAATACATTCTCCCACTCTGACAGTTGCTGGCTCATTCTAATTTTACTTTTTTCTTCTTTTTTATCCTGATATATTGCCTCTTATCTACTTCTGTGATTATTGCTGTGCTTTAAGGGTCTTACTTAAGAAGTCTTTGCCTACTCTGATGTCTCCCAGAGTTTATTCTTCATTGTCCACCAGTAGTTTTATAATTTGAGGCCTTAGGTTTAGATCTTCAATCTACAGTAAGTTGATTTTTGTTAATAGTGAGATATAGGGTCTAGTTTCCTTTTTCTACAAATAGGTATACAGTTTTTCCAGCACTGTTTGTAAAAAAGAGATTTTCTTTTACTCACTGGATTAACTAGTGCCCTTTTTTTGTTCATTTTAATTTTGTTCATTTTAATCATACTCAATGCAAGGGATTCTTATTAAAATTTTGAACTAAGGAAATGGAGTTAGTGAGACAAAGTAAAAGTCAGATATAGATTTTTCGGACTGTTTTGTCATCATTTCTTAATTTGCATTATTATTTTTTTAATTTTTTTTGAGAGATTTTCACTGTAGGGCGCGTGCGCTCGCCAGACAGACAGAGAGAGACATAGAGACAGAAAGCGAGAAATCACCCCCCAAGGGGGATGGTCACGCCGCAATCCCTTCTCCTCCATTCTCCTCTCGGGATCTTGGGCACGCACGCACACGCGCCTGGCGTGAGTTTTAAGCCACCGGGTCCGGGACACGAACCGCGGTCGACTACGTGGGAATCCAGCGACATAGCCATTATGCTAACTGCTGGTTCCCAATTTGCATTATTATTTAAATAATGTTATCTGTAGCTTTTGCTTTTTTCAGTCCTTGGAAGAGGAATGATACTCAAATATCATTTTATTTTTAGACATTAAAACCCATAATAGGGCCAGTTGCAATAGCATTTAATGTTTGATGCTGCCATTTGC